TTTTTTTCCTTCCTGTATCCATTGGGTAGAACTGATTTCTGCCCCTCCCCCCATCCAGCTGCCATAGCAACAGGCAACCATGGTCACAGTTATTGGGAAACAAGCCTGTCTGCAAAATTGCCAATTTGCTACTATTTCTTATTCACAATTTATAGGAATCTTTATATGCATTAGGAGAATAGCAGCAAAATGGCTGGAAAGTCTTTGGAGGAATCTGATCCTGTTGTTTCCCTTTTTTTTTACAATCAACTTTCTAATCACATTGCTTCCTATTACAGCAATTTGTATTTATTATTTGTCTTATAGATTTTATTTTATGAAGACTTGCTTATTTTCTTATAGTTATTTGCAAAACACCAAAGGCAGAAAATATACGCCTTGAAAAATATGGAGGAGAAAGCAATTTATTTTTGCATGGAGTTGGGATGGGGGGATTTTTCATAAAATCCTAGGGTTGGAAGGGACCTTGGAGATCTCTTAATCCAGCCCCATCCACTGCATGAATCATCATATCATCCCAGACAAATGGCTGTCCAATCTTTTCTTGAAAACTTCCAGTGATGGAATACCCACGACAACAGGAGGCAGGGTGTTCCACTGCTTAACAGCTCTCACAGTCAGAAAGTTCCTCCTTATTTCAAGGATCTTTCTCTGTCAAACTTTCACCCATTAGCTCTTGTCTTACCCTCAGGTGCTACATAGAATAAATCCACACTCTCTGTCCTGTGACAACCATTGGAGGGCTGCTATCATATCTTCCCTTAGTCTTCTCTTCTTTAGGCTAAACACACCAAGTTCCGTTAACTTGTTTGTAGGATTTAGCCTCCAACCCCTTTACCTTCTTTGTCACTCTTCTCTGCACTCTTTCCAGTTCCTCAGCATCCTTTTTGTACTGTGGCAACTAGAATCAGACACAGCATTCCAGATGTGGTCTGACCAGTGCAGCATAGAGCAGTACTGTTATTTCCTATGATCTTGACACTATACTTCTGTTGATGCAGCACAAAACTACATTGGTTCTTCTGGCAGTTGTGGCACACTGCTGGCTCATGATTAATCTGTGGTCTACCAGGATACCCAGATCCTTCTCCAAGTACTATTCCTGAGCCAGGTACTGTCTAACTTATATCTGTGCATCTGCTTTTTCCTGCCTAAATCAGAACCTTACATTTCTGCCCAATGTTCAAATTTATCAAGATCCTTTTGAATCTTGATCCTGTTTTCTAAGGTATTAGGAATTTGACTACCTCCACCCTCACCCCAACTTTGTGTCATCTGCAAATTTTATGAGCATCCCTTTTATTTCCTCATCTAAGTCATTTATGAAGATACTAAAGAGTACTGAACCCAAGACAGAACCCTGAGGTACCCCATTGCATATTTCCCTCCGTGTGAATACAGGGTTAGGGTTAGGCTACAGTTTTCCAGCCAAATGTTAATCCATCTGGTGGTGAGGCTATCCATTCCACATTGTATCAGTTTATCAAGGAGTAGGCATGGCCTACTTTATCAAGTGCCTTACTGAAGTTTAAGTACTAAGTACATCCACAGCATTCCCTTAGTCCACTAATCTAGTTATATTGTTAAAGAAAGCAATAAGATTTGTCTGGCATGACCTGTTTCTAACAAATCCACACTGACTTCTGGTAATCACCTTGTTTGTTTCTAAGTGCTTGCAAAACCACTGCTTATCTATTCTAGAATTTCCCACATATTATTTCTAGCAGATTGGTTCATAGTTTCCTGGGTCTACTTTTTGCCCTTTTTAAAATATTGGAACAACATTGGCTTTTCTCCAGTCTTTTGGAAATTCCCCTGTACTTCAGGCTTTCTCAAAGATTTCTGGAGTCATATGCCAATGGTACATAATTTTATAAAAATTATCTTTTAAGTTATAACACAATGTAAATTTCAATCCTTTGAACATTTACCCACTGTTCCATCACTATATTGTGTCCAAAGTTCTTAGCCCATTTTATCATACAGTCTTTCACTTGTCACAATGGCAGTTTCCTATGGAAGGACCTCCTTTGCACTATGGTGAGGCCAGTATCAACATGCTCTAAGGACAGTTTAAAACCCAGCCATACCTTCTTTTTAATGGTTTAAGTTCAATAGTTCCTACCTTGTGCTCCCTGAGGACACTAAAGGTAGTTCACACATGTAGGGAAATATCAATATAGCCCCTTGTATCTTGTATGCAGTATGTTCAAAGTTATATTATTATTCACAATGTAAATTGTTTCACAAATATCTCTGCAGTATTAGCATTATCTGAGTTCAGACAGTGGTGCTTTCATGTGATATCAAAGTGAAATGACACTTTGGCAGTTAGAATTTGAGAAGCCATAAATGAATTGGTGTTTTCACTTCGTACCTAAATGGAGAGCTTGTTTAAATGGCTTGCTCAGGTAGTAGCCAGAAAACTTTTCTATGGCAATGTCAGCCTATGGCAAGGTCAGCATTAAGAAAAAAAATGGGAAATTCCTGTTTTTATCCATTCTGTAATTATTGTAATGTAACCCTTTTCAAGGAACTATTATGTGTAATGAATAACAATATACAAATACTTTTAATTAATAAACAGTATGCAATAAATAGCAAGGAATATTATGTTAAGCTACCTAATGCTACCTAACACAGGAAAACATCATGCAACAGTATGACCAACTCTTCTTTACAGTTATGAAAACTGACCTGTTAGAATTGAAGAGTGTAACAAACTAGAAATTTGTTTACCATTGCGGTCTACATTGCATCCTTAGTGTCAAATTTACAATTAATGATTTGAAATGAAGATGTCCACAGAAAGTGTAGAGTGGTGGTCATCTAGGACTTAATAAAAATCAGGTGATGGAAATGGATCAGCCATATGTTAAGAATGCTGACAACCAACTACCAAAGCCAGCTTTCATCAGCTTTGGTGAACCACCATAGAAACACCATTGTACTGGGTTGCATTACAATGAAAATATTGATTCAAAAAGAAGACATTTCACTGAAGCCCCTAAACCTTAGTAGGAAATGGTATCATGGAAATTGGCAAGTTCACCTAGTTACAATCCTTTCTGATTACATACAGTTGAAACAAATTATGAAAGAAATGAGCATGCCTCCCATACCATAATGTGCCCATATCTGAGTGGGTGGATATAGTGGCAATAAGCAAGTTAACAAGCACACTGCTTGGAGTATGGACCTGAAAAATGTAAGAAGGAAGCAGGGCAGGCATCAACAGGGGACCCCACTCAGTTGAGGATGCCAGATGCTGACATCACCTTTGCTGTTATTTGAGTAAAGTCACTCTCCCATGGAGTTCATACATCCTAGAATTTGCCAATGAATTGTGGAATTTGGCAGTCAGACAGGGGAACATTCAGCCCACCCTTTGTTTCTGTACATCCTTCCACATTACCATCTTTTTTTCAGAATGGGAGACTCACAAGTAAGGTATTACCTTCTAGAAGCTTCCTTCTGTCTTTCATCATATTAGTCTGTTCACCGCTCACTTTGCTTTAGCACAACAGATAAAGTGTTCAGTTTTCAGCTCTTTCTCTGCTTTCCCAGTCAGTTGCCCAGGGCTGGAATGTTGTTGCTGCTTCTTCTTGTGAGCCCTCTGGCTGCAGGGAGTAGGCAATTTAAAAAGGAAACTTACTGATTATTCTCCCAAGCACATTTATAGTGTAGTGTCAAATGGAAGTTATCAGAATGTTCAGTTGCTCTGCTAAAAAGTTAGATTCAGGGCTGAGGTTTTATAAAAATAAATTATTTTTAAAAATCCTGGAGCATACATGACAGATTGTGTACTTGTCACCAAATTCTGTCTCCCCCCAACATCTGCCTCCAGTTATAACTATCCATGTGCTGCTTGGAATAATGAAAGCTATAGCTCTGTTAGAATTTCATCAGAGTGTTATAGAAGGGAAAAATATGGGAAGTGGGACCATTCCATCTGTCCTGCTGAAGGGCCAGCTCCATTAGCTTCCTGTTCTATATCCAGCTGATTATTATAAAGTAATTATTATTTTAAAATTGTATCTGAATTTGCTTTTCCCCTTTCATACACGTCCACTTTTTTTTTTTAATGCCTATTTGACTGTAAGTCTGTAGCCTTTTTTCTCCATATCTTATTAATCATAATGAAGTTTAATTTGGGTTTAGCATGTTGTGTGAATCTAGCCATTATGATTTGTAAACTGTCATTCATAAATTGTATGGTGTATGAAGCCAACCATCAAAGGCTAAACAAACTATGGGTTAGCCTAATGCATAAACCAGAAAAATACATATATGCTGAGGAATGCATGGTTTTTCAATCCCAGTTTTCCTAGTTGTATTCACAACTCCTTGTTAGGCAGATTAGCCTGAAAAAGGTGAATGATTTTTGAACTAATCTGAACCCCTCTTAACGGTGATACTCTCCATGACACAGCTGCACTTTCAATGCATAACTGGTATTTTAGGGTGATCGCAGCTGGGGTCCAAAAAAAGGAACAAGCACTAGACCAAACGGATGGAGTACTGAACCGGCGACCTTAAGTATGAAGCAACGATCTAATGTGAACTTATTCGATCTTTGTACATTGATCATCGGCCAGAGCAGAAATGTAAAAACATGTAAACACTGAAAAGCGGATCCCCTATTTTAGGAGTTGTCGCTACTGGCAAGCCTAAATAGATCGATTAACAGTTGCCGTCGCTAGAACGATCATATTCTAGAACATCTCCTTCAGAGACAGCTGTACCAGACGTCAGAAAGTTTTCTTCTCTGCAATTAGCAGAACAACTCCCGTGCTTCCTCAAATTCTGTAAGGAAGGATTGCGTAACCAGAAGGGAAAGGGTAGGACAAGCGTCTGGCTCCTCCCCCAACGAACCAAAACTAACCGCCGCTGTCCAATGGAGAATGCCAAACTGACGCCACGCGTTCTCCGGCGTTCTCAGACCGGAGGCCTCTCTAGCCAGCCGGCCGGCCGGCCGCTCTATAGTGGGGCGGGACTGAGGAGTGACGCGCTGACGCGATTGCTTTCGGGCGGGTCTCGTGATGGCTGGCGGTGGTGCCGCTGCCGCGGTTGCTCTGTCGCTCGCCGCGCTCCCGGCGACTGCTCCAGAACCGATTTTCGGACGCCGCAGCAGCGCTGCCATGGCTGACGACGAGCACCTGGAGTCCCCCAACGAACGGTGAGTTAAGGAGGCGGAAGCGAGACTGGCGAGTCGGTTGGCCGGCGGTGTCACCGAGCGCGCTATCGAGAGGCCCTCCCTTGTCAGCCCCTGCCCCGCGTGACGCGCGCCGGGGTTCCCAGCTGCTCGCTGGCCCGGCGACTCTCCCGCCTCCCTTGTAGTTCTGGAGCTGGGAACTTGCCCGCTTCCACCGCCCGCCCGCGCGTAGCCCTCTTTTCCAGAGTGCATAATTCTGATTTTGCCTCGCAGTCCCAGGTTTTGCCTGGTGGAGCTCTCCGCTTTATTCGATGTATCAATGCCGCTTCGCCGCGGCCGGTCGCGTTTGTCAGCTGAAACTGCTCTCGCTTCCCTTACAAGTGTACCTCACCTCCGTAAGGCCCGTGCGTTCACCCTTTTCGTTTTCCGTCTTGTCAGAGATGAGAAGCTAAAAGTTGACGATGATAAACCTAATGTGCGTGTGCTCCACTGCTAAACTAGATGTAACAGAGAACGAATTCGGTTGTTTGGATACAAATTAATAGACAGCTGTGAATTGAGATGTGCGATTTAAAGCATTTTGGGAATAGGAAAGTGTGTTGTCACACCTGTATTTTTCTTCTAATTGGGTTCTAATTTCTTCTCCTTGTACTAGTTTCAAATATTTTTTAAGAAACAATCTTCTAGAAATTAAGTTTTTTATAGCTTTATTTACTAGTCTGAAAGCTTCATTCTGTAATTCCAAATATAGTTACTTGTGGCATTCAATCTATATTCTGTGCATACTCTTTTTCTTTTAGCTTTATATGTGAGAGGTGTTTGGGGAAAAAATCCTGGTAAGAACTGCCTTGAATTAACTTGAATTATCTGCTATAATAATCCTGTATGTCAATTTCATTTGCTGCCTGCTACTACTCCAGCATAACTTGTGTTTGTGTGTGTATTTCCTAACCACAATTCATTCCGTAATGATTGCATTAAAAACCTCACTTTCTCCAACAAATTCTGCTGTTTCCAGTACAAGATTTTCCAAAAGCCCTTTTAGTGCTCCTTGCATTATTACATTATTTCAGTATATTTCTTTCAGTGCACAACTGTAATCTAACTCCATTTTTAAAGTATAGGTCTCTCAGAACGTGTTCCAGTATGTACTCCCTAACTCCATTTAAAAATATTTGTCTGGTTCTCCCAGTCATTACTGTATCCTCTTCCAGTGTATGGTATGTACTTTGTACATCTTCTACATATACCTTTAGTCATCTTTTATTACTTTCTCTCCTGAGAAACATCTTTGAGAGAAAAGCAATGCTAATATATATGTCAATCATCAGTGTATTATAATCACATTTTCTTGCCTAGATATGTCCCATTTATTATTACTATCATCACTCTCATTTTGTATTGCTAGCCTTTGTGTGTGCCATTAAGCATAGGATAAGTAAATAAATGTCTGACTTCACATATTTTTCTGTATCCCATCTATTTGTTGTGAAAGTGCCAGGAATTGAACCTGGACCCTTTTGCATGTAAAGCTTGTGTGCTGTACCATCTTTTTGTTCTATTTTATTTTTGTCCAATCAGATTTACAAGGAATATAATGCTTCTTTTGGTTCTCAGTCTTCAGTTTTCTCCTGTAGCTTTGGTCATTCTTGTTTTTTTCTCCAGTGGCAAAATAATATCTACAGCTAAATCCACTTGCAGTTTCCCCAAAGCAGACTTGAACTACACAAAGCTTAAAAAAAATACTTAGTTTATATAGCATTTGAGGCTGTTCAAACTGTTCCTGGGACAATCTCTTTGTAATCTTTATAGTAATTCTTCAAGTGAGAGTATTATGTCAGGTTACAAAAAAGGACTCATCTTCAAGACAGACCTTACTTATACATTTTTTGCAGAAACCAGACTTGAACTGGGGATTTTTTTTGTTTTGTTATACCTCTTGACTCCTGCAACAGAACTAATATGTGATACCCAAATCAAAATTGCTTTAGTTTGAACTCTGCCTTATTGGACATGTTTTTGCCCATTAAGGAGATCATGCCTGGTGTTTTTCTGTGAAATGGAATCAGGGAAATACCAGTATAGTAGATACATTTGTTGTCATGGGATATAATTTTTAGTATTTGTTTATGTTATTGTGCTGTTCAGCCATAGTCACATAATCAGTTTTGGCAGAGGCGTCTTTTTCAAATTTTGTGGATTGGTTTGTTGTATCATTTTTGCAACGCGACCTAGATTTCAGTGACAAGTGCATGCTAACCATACTTTTGTCACAGTGCTACAATAGAAATAACAGTATTTCCAAGGTGCCTGGCATTAATGATGGATCACAGAGGGCCCCATTATAAATTGTAGCCTCCCAAATCTACTACCCCCAGATGTGTTGGGAATGCAATTTCCAGAATTCCAAATGTGTTAGGGACAACAGGAACTAGCCTTTGTGTAGTTTACATGGTGGGCTAGGACAATGGCAAACAGCAAATAATATATATTAGTAGGAGCGGGCCTTAGGGAGGTAAAAATAGGGGAGGAAGTGGCAGACATTCCTGGCAGACAGTCTTATGTCTTTATGAAAATAGGTTGTCCCCAGGTTAAGAACACATGGGTTACAGACAACCCATAGTTAGGAATGGAGCCTATTGGAGCAAAATTTGAGTTAAATACACAATGGTTCAAGTTCATTACACAGTACTACTTATACAGTATTATACAATAATACTGTTCTGACTTACATACAAATTCGATTTAAGGACGGACCTTGGGAACAGAACTTGTTCTTCAACTGGGGACTATCTGTATACTAGATGAGGAAGGTAATTAAATAATAGCTATCCCAACCCATATGTATAAGTTTTTTTCATGACCTCATTGAAATTTTATTTTGATTCTCATTAGAGGACGAAGGGACAGCAGGGCTGGAGGAAGCATCTGTAGACCTACAGAAGGTCTGTAGCTGATGAAATCCCAGAGTCTGCCAGTGATCTTGGACAAAACCATATTCCTTTCATTGTTTAGAATCTTTACCCCTAGCATCTGTCCTGAAGATACCCCACAACTCACAAGCTGCAAGGTTGGCATCACCACTGAGTGATAGAACAGCACTAAACCAATGCAGAAGTGCAAGTCTAGACTCCTTAAGAATTCAGGCTTACTTAAGAGTCAGGAATTTCTCCAGATTAAACCTTGCTCCCTGAGGGCTAATGAATGTCAGTGAAGATGGAGTCCATTGCTACCTTTGCATAAAAGCAAAGACAGTTAAATGTTGAAGACTTCATTTATAGCTTTCCTTTATATGTGATTGCCCAGATTCAGATAAAATTTTCTTTTTTAACTATTATTTTTACATTTTATTTATAAATTATAAAAAAATTGACAGAACACCGATATGCACTAAAAAAAACCCACTCACAATTAACTAAACAATCTTTAAAGTTAAAAAAAAATTAATAGAAATGGAAAGAAAAAAATTATAAGCCCCCCAAAGAAAGAAAGAAAGAAAAAGGAAAAAAAGTCAAACCATATATAGTACACTTATCAATAGTCACTGGTTTACAAACAAGTACCATACACTACTATAATCTATTACAAACTATTATTGTAAATATCACAAAATCTCTGCCACAGTAGTACATATTGCTTCCTCCTTTGATTAATAATAAATATTGCCTTTTATAAAACAGGTCACACATTTCTGAAAGCCACATCTGGAATAATATCACTCTTCCAGTTTCTCAATATATTTCTTTTAGCCACTCCCACGCTTGATACAACCATAATTTCTGATAAACAGATTCTAAAGCTTTAGTATACACAATAATTCAACATCACATTAATATCTTTAATATTTAAAGATTTTCCCATAAATCTACTTATATATGTTAGCACGCTAGTCCAAAAAGATATCAGATGATCATATGACCATATCATATGGGGCAATGAATCATCAAATTTTTTACATCTCCAACATAGAAAATCTGATCAAATTTTCTTAATCAAACTTTTAGACTAAGCTCTTGAGTCTGCTCTATGATCCTGCTTCTGCTATTTCTGACCCCTGGATTGGACTTTGACCATTCTTACCACTTTTCTGAAGTGTCTTTTGTGTTCTTGACCTTCGCTTAGAGGATATATTTCTTTCTTTTGCCTCTTTGGGTAGGACATTTGTGATATGGCCTTGTAGGCCTCCTGTTTCTTACAGGCCTTCTAGTTTTCTTAAGAAAATTTCCCTCTCCTTTTTTATTGTAAAGATTGCAATTCTCCTACAGCAGAATGGCAAGAGGATGCTTGCTGCATTTAATTGAAAAGTCTACTACTCCTATTACGTTTACGCTTCTCTTTTAGAGGAAAAGTAACTTGCATGCTTCAAAAAGGATTCAGAAGAAGAGCGTTAGACTTTTCTGGAAGCCTGAAAAAAATGATGATACTGCTCTAAGAGTTGCTTAATGAATTGATTGCTTAAATGGCTTTTTTAAAAAAGCTGGCACAGAAATCAGAAAAAGGTTGGTCCTTGAAAAATTAACAAATAGGTGCAGTGCTCCTATAAGGTCCACTTTTTCCTGATGATGTTTATAGTGCACACAATTCTGTTGTATGTTGTTCTCACTCCACCAGTGAGGCAAGTTAGACAGAGATGATGACTGGAATTAGTCTTCTAGGGAATACTCCAGGCTGATGCTAACTACTGTTACTAACTGATATTCCATAGGAGTACGTTCATTTGTTCTTTCAGATTAGACATTTCCAGGAGCTATTAGCTGAATTTAAAAGCAGTTTCTTTTTGGATGATGATTTGTCTGTTTTCTATAAGATTAACAAAGTCCATTTCAGAGTCAAAGGGGTTCACTTAGCATCTTAGTTAACAGAATTCTGCAGAATGTTGTATGATTACTGCATGAAAAACCATTTAAAAGCTTTAAGTGCATTATGCAGAGATACCAAAATAGTTAAATATTCTTTAAGCAACCGTAAGAAAATAAGTTGCAAATGTAAAAACATATAGAAACTATATCTCTTCCCTATTAAGA